TATTTTACATTGTAAATGTGCTTATGTAACTAATGTAAACTTGTACGGTTATTATAAGCGTAAATTGTATCACAAAAATTATAGAAACGTGCATGACCATTAACAACTAGATCTAAAACAATATGATTGAAAAACAGAAATAACTTTTTTGATTGTATACGATGACGATTATTTTGCAATTGTGAACTATTTTTGAAATAATATAATTACAACACTGATTGGTGATAATTGGTTTGTAGTTTGCTATTTGTAGTTCTCTCCGGTTTATACGTGATTTACAACAGAAGTACGTAAGTACGTATATAATTCGACTGTCGCTAAAGGAAGCGGTTATCGCCAACCGATCAACCAGTGAATCGGTTTCTATGATACTGAAATGATTTATATTCTAATATGACGTTCTTCAAACGCTTTGAGTACCCACCCGTGATGAAATATGAATATATTGATGTCAGCTGATCGGCAACGTCATGATTTGTTTGGGCTGTTCCGATCATACTCTCACGTAATATGCTTTTTTATGAATGAGCTACCCGACGTCAATTGGTGTAAATGACGTCATTGAACGATGACGTAATATAATTTACGGGAAAATGCACGGTTGTGAAACTGAAAGTCGTCAAAACAAGGAAAAATAAACAAACGATAATAAAATTTGTTAAAAGCCATTTATTTTTACATATAAGTAAGATTATCATTTAAATTCACCCAAACCTATCTAAATACGTTATTTTAAATAGTTTAAGCATGTCAATAGTTCAGTTTTCTCCGTTCTTTTACGTCAATATTAATAGGGTGTTTAATAACGGGAACGGCAAATGTTTGCCTTCACCTAGAGCGATTCGATCCAAAAGAATTGCCGTATTTGTCCTATTAGAATAGAAACAATTCATGTGGGCTTGAATTTATACTGATTTGACCACGAGTTTGCCCTTTATGCCGATATTTTACCCCTCGCTATCGCTCGTGGTAAAATATTAGGCATAAAGGACCAACCCGTGGTAAAATCAGTATAAATTCAAGCCCCCGTGAATTATTTCTTAAACAAATCTTTTTTTGAGATAATTTCTATGTAGTTTGCTATTCGTAGTTCTCTACGCTGCATGTATACATGATTGTATTGTTACAGATTACCAATTAAAGAAGGTACGTACTTATGCAATTCGATGGTCGCTAAAGGAAGCAGTTATCGGCAAACAATCAGCCAATGGATTTTTTTTTTTTGAAAAAGGAGAGAAGATTCCAAAGTGATTCCACGCTTGGGGAAAACAGATAGCATGATGGCGAATATAAAAATATGAACAGACAAGCATAACACATGAGCGAAGGCATACCCAAAACAACATATTTGTATAAAAAATTTTGTAGCAAAATGTCTTTTTGGATACGACTACGGCCCATATCAAATTATTAATGACTGATCTAAAAAAATATCTATTTTTCAGTTTTGCATAACATGCGAGAAGCTAAAAGCTTAAAGCAAATATGTCAGAATCTAAAATATCCGACTGACGATGTCTTGTGAACATCTGAAGGATGTTATCTAGATTGATTTCTTTAATTTTTAAAATTTCCTTATTCAAGGGGTAAAAATTGCGAATATCATGATACATTTTCTTCGGAATATTTTAAAACTGCATTTTTTTCCTTTTGTGTTTGATATTGCTTACCGATAAAACTGATCCCTCTCTCTCTCTCTCTCTTGACCCTAGTTTTTAACAATGAAAAGACATATATTAAATGTAATTAAAAAAAATCAAAATGAATATGAATAGCATTTTTACTTTCAAGTGTATTAGAACTTTATGTATAGTTTTGAGTCAAATATTATAAGAATGGACACGTTTGGCCTGAGGAGGTTATGTTGACACTTACATTGGACTTCTACTTCCTTATGACCGGACAATACTTCGACGGACACATTAAGGTACGGATTTAGATTTAATTTTACAGTAAAATATTGTTAAAAAACTCGTTTGAAGAAAAAAGATAAGATTACTATAAAATAATTTAAGCAGTTTTAAGTTTTCTTATTAAAGAGGATGGGAATAATATAAAAAAAAAAAACTGTATTACAAGGATTTATTCGACATTTTTTTATCCTATCAACTGTTTTTTTTTTTGTTCAATTTTTGTCATCTTCATCGCACTATCAATACGCTTTGGATATATAAAGTTTGAATAGTGCAATATAACATCTACTAATTTAAGCGACTTTACTAATGAATAAGTCAAGACAGATTTTAAATAACCAATAAAAAAATAACAAATTTGATGAAACAATAAGCAGATAGAAGTTTATCAAACAATAAGTAAAGACAGATTTTATTAAACAATAAGTAAAGACAGATTTTATTAAACAATAAGTAAAGACAGATTTTATTAAACAATAAGTAAAGACAGATTTTATCAAACAATAAGTAAAGACAGGTTTTATGAAACAATAAGTAAAGACAGGTTTAATGAAACAATAAGTAAAGATAGTGGTCAATGCAGGTCGTCTTAACAAATCATATGATATACATATAAATAAATATTTAATTTATTTTGGAATAATTTTGTAATAAATATGAGACTGTGAACTCTTGTCACCATTTTCATGTCTAGAATGTACATAGAACTTGTTTCAGTAATATGTCCTTTCGAGTGTATAATTAAAAATTGGTTTTGTTTCTATAATATGCACATATACATTTTCCCCAAGGTAGGAGCTTTTTTTTTTTCTTTCTTTTTTTTTTTAATTTAAAATTTCTTTATTTCCATTAGTTGCTTGTTACAATGTCTTCAACAGGTCCAAGCTTCTTGTGAAGAATAAGTATAATTTTCAATTCTATTATATTAATAAATAAAACATCAATCTAATAACTGTTTTTTCACATTAACTAAGAATTTAACTTCTTCTAACTTCTTTGTATAATACATTCGTTTTGTAAATTCTCTAACAACAACAAAAATACATCAAGTCCTTTCATTTTCTGATCAGATACATAGTAGGATTTATAAAATGAAAATCCAATAATAGTTATAAGATAGTTAAAGCCAAAGTAATATTTATCTGATATTTTATAGCCAAAAACAATATCTTTTTATGTGATAGCTTTTTCTATATTTACTTTTTGCAATACATTATGAATTTTTCTCCAAAAATTGTTTAAAAAAGAACACGATATAAAATAATGATGATAATCTTCTTCCGTAAAGCATTTGTTACATAAATCAGTGTCTGTTACCTTCCATCTAAACAATAACTTCTTAGTAGGTAATATACTTTGTAAAAGTTTCCATCGATACATCTTCAATTTATTTTCTTCTAAATAGTAAAAAATAAAGTTGTACAATGGTTTCAAATGAAATTCTGTCTGTAATGGTAATACATTTAACCATACATTTATACCAATCGGTTTCACAACCTTTTTCTTTACTAATCTGTCATATAATAACTTATTTGACAAAAAAGAAATGTCAATATAATTACCACTTATTGACAAACATTGTCTTTTAACATTGACTCTACTTCTCGTGGAATTCTCTGATCTAAGACATTGTAACCAATCTTTTGGAATTGCGTTTTTTAAGGATGTTAACTCAGCTATCCAGTTGGATTTATTATTTTTCTTAGTGCCATGCCTTTTTGCTTTTTTGTTTGTTTTGTTTGTTGTTTTGTTTTTGTTTTGTTTTGGTGGTTTTTATTTGTTTTTGTATGTTTTTTGCCTTTGTTTTTGTATATTTTTTTGTCTTTGTTTTTGTGTGTTTTTTGTTTTTGTTTCTGCAGTGGACACTGTTTATGTAGGTTGAGATAAAACTGAAATCTAAAATACAAATCAATTCTTAAATATACCAAACGCATGCATAATTAATGAACAGTTTTGATCTTTCTGTTGACAGTTGTAGGGTCAAGATGGTGTTATTGCAGTTGAAATCAACAACAGAAATATTGATGTAATTATCTCATATTGATACACATGGAAGAGATGAAGAAATATCTGAATAGACTCATAATCTTGCTTGTGTTGTCTTTGTTTTTTCTGTCAATTCATAGTGAGTTTTTTTTTAAATTAACAACCGCCATGAACTGCATTGATATCTAACAATTATTTCATATTAGTGCTGTAATATGTTTTTCGATTGGCATTTAAGAAGTAACATTGTATACAAATAAAGTGTACGCACTAGATTTAAATGTGTGCTTTCTTAAATGAAATAAGGGCAATAGATTCTTTTACATAGGGCTATATTTCCAAGTATGAATTCTGCCAAAGGGACGAATTATGTAGCGTTATTGACCAGTCTTATGGATACGGCCTATTTACAAGTAATTATTGTATTAAGTGTGCAATGTACCGAGGGCCGTTTAGCTGTTTATTGACTCTTCGGTCATTTGCTAAAAAGTATATAAAGACTGAAGTGAAGTGGAGTACCAACAAAATATATATATCATTATATTCGATAAAGTTTACTAAGATTTCGATAATAAAACGATCGACTAACTTTGTAGAACTTAGTACTTCATATATGTATGGTCACTTGTATATGGATGAAATATTTGCTTGTAATATTTGCTAATGGACTTTAACAATGCAACAATTATCCACCAATCTCGCAAAAGAACCGACATTTAATGTTACGTTGCAAAGCTGGTATTGAACGCCATCCTAACTTGTTACATCAAATAAAATAAAACAAATCATTTAGAAATATAAAAATCGCAATGTCGCACATGTTGTACATTTAACTCTTACTAGAGGAAGTAGCTTTTGTACGGATAATATGTTGGGGGTTGGAAAAGTATGTTTTCTAATTTTTTTATAAATGTTTCTTTTGTTGTTGGGTTGGGTCTAATTGACGTGTACCCAACATCTCTGTTCATTCATATTAAACGAAATATATTCATATTCATATTTGTGTACTGTTAAATTACATGATGAATAAAGAAAATATTAAAACCTATATATGTACAATGAAATAACTAATTTGTCTTTCATTTCAAACTGTAGTTCAGTTAGCCATTAACTTTTCCGTCAAGAAAACAGCTTATCATGTAGTCAACAGAATATCTAGGCAAATACAAGAAGGACATTTCTCCAGAAAGATTTCATCAACAAATAAAACTGGATCTATGGACAATTATCGGAATAAACTATACACTGTGATGAATTCACCAGCAGGTCATGCGAGTTATGTTGGCAACAATGAAAATTGCACAGATATTAAGGACAAAACCAACTGCTTTCTTTCATGTCCAGAAACATCCCCTAAACTTGGTAAGAATGACTCAAAATTTAATTTATTAGAACCTCTTGGTATTTAAAGTATCAAAAGGTTAGACATACTTGCACCATGAATAACGCCAAAGATGTCATACATAAAACGGTATTTCACATCCTAAATTTCACGGTAATATTGTACTAAAAGCGCGGAAATCACTATGTGATCCGTGTAAACTCATCGAACTTTTAAATAAACTTATATCTTACCAATGTTGTAATTAGATCTTTGAATAAAGTTTACATTGGCACAAATATCGATTTTGTCATCAGCAAATTAAAACATAACTAAATTTGTATTCTTTTCAAACGCTTTTTTGGGGATGTATAAATACACATCCACGTTCATTTTCTATATAGAGATTACTCTATCTATATATTATATTATACATATTTATCAACAGGTTAACTCCTTACTATTCTACTACCTGTCGATACTTTTATTTTGGCATTGCACAAGTCATGTCTTCTTTGACTGTCCATGACGTTAAAACAGTAAATCCCTGGGATGTGTTTTAGTTGATTTTAGTCTCTGATGCATGATTTTTTATTATTAATTGTTTTTGGCTTTTAACTAGCTTTCTGTAACTGCGAGTACTCTCAAATCGTACTTTCGTGTTAATTTTCGGTTTGAGCCAAGGCTCCGTGTTGAAGGCCATACTTTGACCTATAATATGGTTTACTTTTACAAATTGTGACTTGGATGGAGAGTTGTCTCATTGGCACTCATACTACATCTTCTTTTATCTATTAGACAGAAATTGTTTTTACCTTTTCGGGAACCGGACCCACTACCGTTTTTTTATTTGTGTTCTTTGTTACAATTTTTCTAAAGTTTGGTTGGAATTCGTACGTTAAATCCGATGGTACATGTAGGAATAGTGTTACGCTCTATGCATGTTAAATAGCGCTTGTAACAACAATCCGGTGGGTCTTATTGTTCATCTTGTTCGACCCACAGATCTTACATGTTTTAATATTGTTAATTTATTCATCCTAAATATGCATGCATTGTTGTTGTCTCTTTGACACATTCCCCATTTCCATTTTCTATTCTAATATTTGCCACTAGACGTTAAATAAGCAAATCAAATCAACACCAAGTACTAATACAAATCATGCTTAAAGGAACAAATGAATGTATACTTAACAATAATGAGATGTGGTATTAAAGCCAATGAGATAACTATTCATAAATGACATAAACAGCTTTTTAATGTACGGCCTTCAACAATGAGCAAATTAAATCCGTTCTGTATAATAAGATATAAAATGTCCGAAATTGATAACGAAATGTGAAAAAAGGAAAACTAACTATATTTGATATAATAACAGAAAACGAAAAAATCTTGAAAAACCTGAGTATGACAAACTTCAATAAAGCACAAGGACTTGACTACAATTTTATTTTCAGTTGGACGAAAAACTCCTTATTTATCCATACCAACTACTACAAAATTAAAGACAGCTCTGTCATGGGTCAAGAACGGTGGTCGTTACAGCCCTGATGGTTGCATTCCCCGTCACCATGTTGCCGTGATTATACCATTCAGAGACAGAGACCAACACCTAAAAACATTTCTATATAATATACACCCCTTCTTAAGACGACAACAACTTGACTACGGGCTATATGTTATTGAGCAGGTAATATAAAGACGATATTAGATTAGTTAGATGGTATAATTTTTCAGTAACCTTACAAATATTTTCTTTCAAAAAATGTTTCATATAATGTTAATTTTATTAACTTTTTAGAAAGTGAAATTCGATTATGTCAACCATAATTTGATACATTCAAATTTCACCTTAAAATTTACCCAATCTTCTTGTATTTATACGATGACATTTTATTGTTCAAACCACAAAACGTTGCGCTTTAACTATATAGATTTAATTTGTTTTTCAGATTGGTACTTCTAAATTTAATCGTGCCATGTTGATGAACATAGGTTATGCAGAATCGATAAAAATTCACAAGTTTACATGTTTTGTATTTCACGATGTTGACCTTTTACCGGAGGATGACAGAAATTCATACACCTGCACAACACAACCAAGACATTTGTCAGCAGCCGTTGATAAATTCAAATACAGGTAAAATCATAGAAGTTGAATGTGATCGAACATAAGGGAGAACATCAAAAGATCGATGTAGGATAAAAAAAAACTTAAATAACATAGTTAGAAGGTGGGGTTCAAGCTGGCTGCAAGTTTTGTTATCCTACATTGCTTTTCCGGGTTAAAAAAATGTGTATGAGAGTTCTGTCCTAAAAGTGAATTGACCTTTCATGCAAATAAACGGTAAACAATCGTACAGGATAGTCATTTTTGGGGAGAAAAAACGTCATGTATAATACATATAAAACTCATCACTGGCGCTCTATTCAAAACAGTTGGAAAGCCAAATCAAATACGAAGTTGAAAAGCTTTAAGAACGGAAAATTTTGAAAAGTGAAGTGACTAATGGTATCAATGTCAATGTAACCATGATAAATGGCTATTTTAATTCTCCAGTCAATATTTCCAGTAGGCCCAAAGTCAGTACACACAGAAGGCACCATTCATTGTTGACACACAAGACACCATTCATTGTAAACATGTTTAACCCCGCCGCATTTTTGCCAGTTTAGTCTTGTATGTTTGTTTTTATTTATTTCATTTATATGTTTCGGAGTTTAATGTGACGTCCATTAGCTGAACTAGTATACATTATTGTTTAGGAGCCAGATGAAGCCCGCCTCCGGTGCGGGATTTTCTCGCTGTGTTGAAGACCGATGGATTGGTTGCCTTGGTCTGTTTTCTGCTCTTTGGTTGGGTTGTTGTCTCCTTGACGCATTTCCATTCTCAATTTTATTGACACACAGAAGACACCATCCATTGTTGAGGAAAACAACACTCCCAGTACTACATGCATACTTTAATGCATTTAAAAACATTCCCTCAATGCTATATGTCTATACCGAACAATCAATATTTTCCAAATTAAGTTACTAGCGGGGGTTAGTTAGGGGTCCAGGAAAAAAACCACTGTGCATTTTTAATGATATTTTTGATGTAATAGACAATTGAATAGTACCACATCATGTCCACATGTATATTTATTTATGCTAATGACAACACCTTATCCCTTGCTAATTTTGATATACAAAATGATATTAAAATTTTAAAAATTGGTAGTCTCAAAATGCTGGGAGGACGTCCCCAATTAGACGAGAATGTTGACGTTGGAGTTGTCTCATTGGCACTCATACCACATCTTCTTATATCTAGTTGTTCCAAAAAACGTTTCAAGCGTACAAGCTTTTGACTTAAGTGAAAATCCCGCTTAAGATAACCGTAGAATTTACATTCTTCTCATATGTAGTTATTTTGCAGATATTTTCGAAGGTACTTCATTAGCTATTTTTGTTTTCCAAGCCGGGGTTGGCATCATTAATATATGCAAACATTGATACCCAAATTTCCATAGAACTTTAAAAAGATATTTAAAACATATGTTGTAATTTTGTATAAAAATTGCCCCCAACAGCAACGTTTTGCACTGAATGACAATTAGATGTCTTGAATGTATGTAACATGATTTAAAATTTTTTTTGAATAATATTTAGCGTCTTTCATTTTCAAAATCCAGAATGTTTTGAAACTTTAAAATTGATTTTGATACTATGAGTGAAACAAATGCAGGGAAAATCTGACACTACCTCTTTATTCTTAGCGTGCTTCCAAAATATCACAATGAATGTCTTCGTTTATAACATTCGATGTCTTATTTTCTTTTTTAATATAGACCCAAATCTACCTTAACCACTAATCGATTAACAGCAGACCGAACTCCGATTTTTAAGTTATACTCATTTTGATGTGACAAGATGGATATATTTAAGTAACTGCTTTCGTAAATATACGTGGATCAATGTTTTTGAAAGGAAGTACTATGAACCTGTAATGCATTTAAATAAGAAGATGTGGTATGATTGCCAAAGAGAAAACGCTCCAGATGACGTAGAAGTAAACAACTATAGTTCACCGTACGGCTTTCAACAATGAGAGAAACCCATACCGCGTAGTAAGCTATAAACGGCACCTACATGACAAATGTGCAACTATTCAAACGAGAAAACTAACGGCCTGGTTTATTATTAGCATTTTCAAACCTTCCATCTCTTAAAGTCAGAAGATGACGAGCAATAACTATGGAAACTTTTAAGATCATAAACAAAAAGAATCCATCATAATTTGATTAATATAAAAAGTAACAAATATTCCATTAGATATATGGCACTCACAGACAAGAACAACAAGCTATGGCATGAATTCCTTTTGCTACACAGCTGCAAAAATAAATGGAATGAACTACCCCAGAGTTTTAGAGAAGAACAATTTTAACCAATTTTCTAAGCTCATTGTTACCGGGAATGGTAGTTTATGCCAACGCAATATCTGCAAAAAATTAATGCATTAATTTATAGTGCTTTACTGCTTCATGTGTTTTAAACAGCTTTATATGCTTTTAACAATAATTGCTTAAAGTACTATTATTATATCTACATATTATTACCTAATTAACATTTTCATGTAATTTATGTATATATATTTACATGTATATGTATGCTCCTTTCAATGATTTGCTTTATTATGTAGTTCTTGTGTGTTTGCTTTGTTTTAAACGTGCATTCTTTAAATGTTTTGTTATTATAAGACGATTAAAAGCTCAATAGATCTTATGTTTTCTGTATTCTAATATTTGTCTATAAATAAAGCTTTTGAAATTGAAAAATCCCTAGTTATAATGCATCAGCATTTCGTGCGTATGTTAGACCAGATGCCATCTAATTAACCATCGAGATGACATCCGAAGACTGTCGATGGTCAATGACCTGATCTGAACATAAATAAAAAAAGGACAGCCAAGCAAGTGAAATCGTACAATTATGATTTTTCTAAGTCTTTTTTATTTCATTTTATAGATTAAAATATATGCAAATCATCGTTTTTGCCTGTATAAGAAGGATTTATTTTTGAAGACTGAATCACTACAACGGGATGGTTCATCCTGGTTTCTCTTTTTAATGTTGACATTCTTTTCTTTTTAATAACTGAACACGGTTAGCACATGCGTAACCCATCTCCAACTAAAGGTCAAATTAAAGATTACATGATACGGATTCAAATGAGTTATATTATTGATTTGCAATACAACAATACATGAGCGATGTAATTGAGTTTATTTTAACAAAACTGAACCTAATTGACTGCTTTTATGAATGTTTGAAACAGAAAATAATCCTATCTTAAATGATTTGTCTTAATCGCAGCTAATGTCCCTTTAAATGAAACCGTTAGTTTTTGTCTTTCTATTTGTTTCATAAGGCCATTTATAGTCTTCTTTACGGTTCTGATTTTGCTCATTGTTGAAGGTCGACGTAAACCTGTAGTTGTTCACATAATTGATCTTTTGGTTGATAGCTGTCTCATTTTAAATCATTGTTTTTACAGATTACCATATAAAGCTATATTTGGTGGCGCGTCAGCTTTATCTAAAAGCCAGCTACAAAGTGTCAATGGATTTTCCAACAAATTTTTTGGTTGGGGAGGAGAAGACGATGATATGTGGAACAGGTGAGTTCATAAATAGAAAAAAAGGGAGACAAAAAGTAACACACAAAACAATCATGAAAACATTTATCCGAATTCACGTAGTCATTCACTGAATTTTACAAGACATTTACTGCTATAATATACGGAACAGATGACTTAATGAATTGAAAGAGTGACAATCTAATTAAAATTAAATCTCCGCACTTGCTCTTCGTTGTTTATATGTCGCGCGGGGGAGCGCGACATATAAACAACGAGGAGCAAGTGCGGAGATTTAGTTTTAACTAGATTGAAAGAGTGATAGACACAAATTTACAAACAAAATTACGAAGTAATTTATCAGAAATTATATAGTCATTCAATGAATTTAACAAGACTTATATTGCCGTATAACCAGAAAGCCTTAAGATTCCAAAACATGAATAACAATCATCCACTCTTTATATTTAAACTATATATTTGAAAATAGCCATGCGTTGATATATCTTAAGACTTGCATGTTGTAATATGACGTCCTCAAATTATTCATTGACATTTCACTTTTTCAGGCTTATGCACGCTAACTTCACAGTTACAAGACATTCGAATAAAGTAGCAAGATATACAATGTTGAGACATGGCAAAGAGAAGGGAAACAAACACAATACAAAGAGGTAAATTTATATTGAAAAATGACAAATAAATATGCAGCAGACATTGGATCTTGTTTGTGTGATATAGTATTTCGTATTTGAACACGTTTTCATTTGCATAATTGTCAAGTTAGAATACAGCCACTTTAAAATAGAAAAGTTCATTAAATATCAGACTCATACATTGCTGAATCTTATGATATACGTTGTTTTTACATTTTTCTTACTTCTATAGATACAAACTTCTAGAAAATGGCTATAAGAGATTCAAGAAAGACGGGTTAAACAGTTTGACATATAATGTGGTCCGAATCCAGATAAATCCTCTTTATACTAGAATATCTGTAGACATCAATGAAAAAGAAATTATGAAGGTAAATGCATATTTTTATACCTAAAGACGATTTTGTGCAAATATTTTGAGCATTCCCAGAGAGTGCTTCAGCTAAAAAATGTCTAATTTTCCCCTTAAATTTTGAATGAATATTACTGCAATTTTTTTCATGAAACTATTTTATTGAACCCGCCCGAGGAATTCTTTACTTGACATGATCCAGAGCACGAAAGGGTCAACAAATCAGATTTTGATTCGAGCTTCACAAGTCTTTTGTAGGCGAATCGCGTGTAAGCTTCCGTACAAAATTTTAATCCTGGTATCTATGATGACAATACAGCTATGAATGCCGGAAATTTCAAAATTTAAAATAGAAAGCTATAGGACAATGAATTACCGGTTTTACTCCTTATACGTTGAAACCAACAATTATAAATTCTGACAGATCTATTCTATCTGAAAAACTAAGTAAATCCATTTATAGGCATATCAAATAAAATCGATATAATTAAGGATTATGTACCCTTGTTTTGCTTCAATGCTAAACATAAGGAAATTTTATAGAAAATCCACAGACTTTCCCCTTGTACTCTCATATTTGGCAATTCGGTACTTGATAGATAGAGGATAATTGCATGCAGTGCTAGCAATGATTTCCTTAAAACAAGTGTATAAATTTAGATATTGGTTAAAATAAATATAAACATGGACCAAATCAAGTTTTGGAATTTAAAGGTTGTTTAGAACTTTTTGTAAACAATAAACGCTAGCTGATCATAGAAAAACAAGTGAGTAAACTATGTTTCAAATTTTATAACAAAAATCTCTGTATTAAAGTCTGTGGATTTTCTACAAAATTCTTGATTGTATTTTCACCAAATTACCTTTTTCTATTAAATGCAATGACACTATCAATAATTATGCTTTGCACGACGTTTCCCCTTGGTATATGTACAAAATGGCCCATCTCTATTATTCATTATCTTTGCTGTTTTGATACTATTGCAGTTTGAAAAGTTCATAATTCACAGGCCACAGAAGGGGTCATAAACCTTAAAAAAGTGACAGTCAATTCATGTGAAAACAATACCTAAGCTTGGCTCGTGCTAAACATAACCCATATACCTTTTATTGCATTTAAGAGCGAACTGGTTCCCGGAAGTTCGGAAGTGAAATACAGGTACTTCTGATCTGGGAAATAGGCCTTCTATTTTAATTTCATACGTTTTTTATCATTGAAAATGAAAAAAAAAGAAGTGTCCAACACTGGTCCCAGGTCATTCAGCTTTCCTTTCATTCGAAAATTAACCAAATATTTGCATATTTCAAAGTTAAACTATGCGTAGAAGCTGTTTTTTTTTTAAAATATGTACTACTATGTTATTTGTTCTTCCTGACCGGTCCCGAATGAGTGGTTCTATACCATAAACTGATTAGTACGTTCCTTATTCGATCATATTGTAACGATCAATCAGACAAGATAATAGCATAAAATGGCTTGAGAATTGACTATCAATATACAAAAAGTTAACTGGTTACAAAAGTGTTCCCTCTTCACAACAATAGTTTAGTAAATAGTAGTAATGCAATCCGATAACAATAAAAACTGTATTCATTCTTCTTTAGATCTAAAAACGAAGAGAACGGCAGTTTCCATGAGTTTTAGATCATAAGGTTTATAATGTTGTTATGCATATCAATTCAAAATTTTCTTTATGCGGTAAATGTCACATTTTCACGTAAATGAAGACAAGACAAGTTAATAAAATACGTACAGAAAACATGTACTATAATAGGCAGTCAATAACAATACATTTTAATTAAGGTAAATATAAAAGAAAATGTGGTATGATTGCCAATGAGACAACTCTCCACCAGAGACCAAATGACGTAGAATTATGCAACAACAGGTCACCGTACGGCCTTCAACAATAAATAAAACCCTACAATCATGGAAGGAAACTTTTAAGACGTTATCCGGACAAAAACATATAAATGTCAATGATTCGAAAAACCGTACATATATGTGCAATAATAGAGACGACCTACACTAATCATTGCTCAAAATATAATAAAACGTTTAATCTATATAAGTTTTTGTAAATATATTTTGATTATATGTTTCCCCCTGAACAGACCTTTTAATCGTCATATGATAAAAACAAATCATCAAAGATAACTACCTAGCTTATAATTTGGTTCGCCATATGCGCGTTTCGTCTACATAAGACTTACCAGTGGCGTTCGAAAAAAACAGTTGTAAAGAACAGAGAATATTTTTATATTTCAAGTTCAAATGATTTAGTATAAAAGAGGTCGAAGATACCCAGGAGACATTGCAAACTCATAAGTCGAAGAAAAACTGACAACCCCCAACCCCATGGCAAAAAGAAAAAAATACGACGAAAAGACTAAAAAATTCCACAAAACACTATATAAAAATCTAAAGAATGAGCAACACGAACCCCACCAAACCCTGGGGTGATCTCATGTGCTCCGGAAGGATATAAGCAGGTCCTGCTCCACTTGTGCCATTCGTGGTTTATAAAAGGGACGTTATTAGGACAAACACAATTTAAGCGAATAAAACACAAGAACTGCACATAATCATGACAACATTTTTCTCGGTAACTAATGAATGATAGACAATATTCATTTGCACATATCTTATATGGCACAGTTTAACTGATAATTAAAAATGGAAAATAATTCTGGATTCAAAATTCCTTTTGATTACCATGGCCAATGAAGTAAAACACCATTGATCTTTTTACTTTAGTCACAAGAAAACTTAATTTTCTATTGTTCTCGAAGCACTAGTCATCCCATTATTTAAGTTTGAAACAAACGCGCTCAGAAATTAAAATAACACTTTGTGAATTGATGCGCTTTTCTGGATTTACCTTCATCTTGAACGATCAAAAACAATAATTGAAAGCCAAGGACGTATAAATACTTAAATACTTAAGACACTGTATGACCAAAAGTGACCTAAAATAACTAAATCCACCTAAGGTCAACTTTATAAATAATAAGACGTGGTATGAGTGCCAATGAAACAACCATCCATCCAAGTCACAATGTGTAAAAAGTAAACAATTATCGGTCAAAGTACGGCCTTCAACACGGAGCCTTGGCTTACACCGAACAGCAAGCTATAAAGAGCCGCAGCATTTGCCTGCCGGAGTTGGTATCTTAGTTTCTACAAAATAATTTCTACATTTATCAACTTAGAAGTTAAGAAAAGAACGTTACGAATTGTGTCAGTAGCAAGGCACATAATCTGATTACATGTTTGATGAAACCTACGGGGACTAGCTGTCCACCACCAATGGAATCTACCCAGTGCTTGTAAATTAAAACAACACTTTATCAAGGTGGTGCGTCCGAAGCACATTTCTGGGTTTACAATCAGAATGAACACTCAAACCCGATTGTGACAATTTATAGTCCGAAATTCTGATATGATTACACAATGCTAAAATCACATGTAACTAAAAAAAATACATGTTAAATGTCTTTAGAAGATGTGATCATATTTACTGACATTTAATGACAAATTAAGAAGAAGGTCAAATATATGATACTATGGTCATACACAGGAATGACTATTTACGTGTCAGGTGTTTTTTGATAAGTGAATAATGTAAGCATGGTAATTTTTAAGGTTACAATGCCAATACTATTCGTGTGTGGGTTCAATTCTTGCATCGACGATAAATTTGCACTTCAAATCAATAGCATAACCAATCAGATTAAAACAAGCACTTGGTCCTCGTTTTCGTTTGAATATTTATATTTCGCGCGTGGTAACGCAATATATTAACAACCGAGCGAAATTGAGAAGCAATTGCGGAGAATTAATTACAATTAGATTGTTGTAATGATTTATACAAACTTTTTGCGTAGGGAATATTTAAGCGCAATTAACATGATCATCAGCAAAAAATAAAACCCGCCGAAAATTTACAGTAACAAAAATGTGTGCTTATGAACCAGCACTAATGTTCTTCGATGTCATTCAATGTTAGTCTTTACATATTGTAAATGTTAGTATTCACATTTTTTAATGACAACAGAATATCATGTATTATCTGTAGAACTGAGTGCTTGTAAACCAAAGTAAAGACAAATGAGCGCAAAGGAGAAACAAAGAATAGAACTTACAAGAATTTTGCTGTCGGCTGATTGAAGACTGAAAACTAATTCATCATTCAGCATTTGGTATAAGTAAAGCGTCTATAATTCCTCGTGTGACGATTTGCTTTAGAACAAAGCTGGATTATTATTTCTATGCAGTATCATAGTAATAAAAGATGAAACTGTTGTATATGCATCAATAGTGTCAAGAGAATTAATGTTATTCTTTATGAATGTAAGCAATAAATGTGCCAGATCCACGTTAGAGTATGTATTAGTTGTGTCCGTGAATGTACGGCTGATATCTAAAGTGAATACGACATCTAACATATTAGGAATATTAAGTCAACTGGGGCGATATTTTTGCAATCATGTGATTTATATTCTAACTTGTAGTTAATTAGTCGGATTGTGTAAAAAAAAATGAACGAAGAAACAGCTTACAATTTTTGTCCATCATTTAACATGAACGATAATGTGTCCTGAAGTGTATTCTTCAGTAACTTGATATGTATCAAGCAATGGAAACTCTCATATTATTAATCTATTGATCAATATTCTAATCATATTTCTATGCAGTTTTGTATTTGATCACGTTATTTATATCTATACGTTACTCTCCTAAAGGAGGATAACTAATGTATATTTAATTATATAGACATAATACAGTAAAGTTATAGAGAACAGATATATCATGTTTAATTGTGGTATTTTCCAAAACTACCAGTCGATATAATGCAAAATTGTATGAAATTTATTCTCACGTCAAGTATTTTTCGCAAAAACCAAGTCTGAACATAATACATAAGTGTTTAATTATTGTGAATATCAATAAGATGTTTAAGTTGAACACGCTATCAAGATTTTAGAAAAAAAAACAAGCGCAATTTATAAAGAGCACAAGTGAGCAAGCGTCTCTGTTAAGATAAAAAAAGAGGCGTATACCTTTTTCAAATACCACGCCAGAAAGGGTTAAAGAGATATCCTTGTACATATACATCAGCAACAGTTAAATCAGATAAATACACTAGCTATTAACCATTCGACGACGCAGATTTCGTCAACATAAGACACATCAGTTTAGTTTAAACAGTATTTTATTCAAATAAATTGAATTGGATTTGGAAACAGGCATAGCCTATGTAAGCCCTCTTCATAAAACAAGGTACAAAGTAAAATCACAAAAATACTGAACTCCGAGGAAAATTCAAAAAGGAAAGTCCCCAATCAAATGGCATAATCAATAGTTCAAACACATCAAACGAATGGATAACACAATATATTACATTCAAACAAAGCAACACACACACAAACATAATGGCAACACAGAATTAATTTTCCAAAAATACCTCATAGCTGACTGGAATGATGCTTCAAATAGTGAACTCAGATAAAAAGTATGAATATTTTAAGAATGCTTCAAATACATGTAGTTAACTCAGAAAAAAAAGAAAAAAAAAAGAAAAAGAAATATTAATATTCTAGGTAATAAACTCCAACATTGATTTAGAGGCCTTACATTAAATTAAACAGTCTCCAGTCAGCTGTTCAATATTATAATTTTAATAACTCATTTTTCAAAACAACATGTTTGATATCATGTACTTATTTTTACTAATTTATCGCACCTGAAGAATAACGACAGTGAGTAATAACCATATTGATACAGTAAAGAATCATAATAAAGACACATCAGTGACAGTCTAATAAAAAGAATCGAAAGGCCAAATCAATTGTAAAGCTCAAGAGTATTGAAAAGTACATTTAAAAAAAAATATTGAGTCAAATTTGGCCTAGTCATCTTTGACTTGCGGTAGAAAAACCTTAGTGTTTCGATTGATTTTTACATTTTATGAAGAGTTTACAGAAAATTACCGTATCAATGATATTTCATGTCAGCACAGAAGTGAAGACTTCTAGGCTGCTGATACACTCTGGGACGAACCGTTCACTAGCATAGGCATCTACCCAATGGTAATAAAAACATAAAACACATTAAAGATGCCAGGCATTTAATTTCGTCTACATCAGTCTCATCATCGAACTTCAAAAGCTTCATAAAGTTGTGCCAAATATTGCGTTGTTTATCTATGTATGTGAAAATGAAAGAAAACCGTAGTATTACAATTATATTAACAGTAAATGAACATAAAACGCGATTGTTAAATAAAATATCATGTCCGCGCAGAAGTGGTTTAATTAGTGTATAAAATTAAAATTTCCGAGAGAAGTCAATAGTAACAACTTCCAAAACAACTAGAAAACTTTACTTTAACTTTACTTTCCGCTATATAGATGATGTTCTTTCACTAAATAATTCAAAATTTGGTGACTATGTTGAACGCATCTATCCCATCGACCTAGAGATAAAGGATACAACAGATACAGTTAAGTCTGCCTCATATCTTGACTTACATCTAGAAATTGACAATGAGGATCGGTTGAAAACAAAACTTTACGACAAAAGAGATGATTTCAGCTTCCCAACTGTGAACTTTCCATTTCTATGTGGCAACATTCCCGCAGTGCCTGCATACGGAGTATATATCTCCCAATTGATACGATATTCCAGGGCTTGTATTTCCTATCATGATTTCCTTGATAGAGGGTTGCTGCTCACAAGGAAGCTATTAAACCAAGAGTTCCAAATGGTGAAGTTGAAATCATCCCTTCGTAAATTTTACGGACGCCATCACAAGTTGGTTGACCGTTATGGAATAACCGTTTCACAGATGATAGCGAATATGTTCCTAATGTCGTGACTACAATCCCGTCCCCTTTTCACGAATGTGACCTACGGAATTAGACTATTTACCGGGTTTGTACTAACATGAGCAACACGACGGGTGCCACATGTGGAGCAGGATCTGCTTACCCTTATGGAACACCTGAGATCACCCCCAGTTTTTGGTGGGGTTCGTATTGCTTAGTCTAAAGTTTTCTATGTTGTGTTTTGTGTACTATTGTTTGTCTGTTTGTCTTTTTCTTTTTTAGCCATGGCGTTGTCAGTTTATTTTCGATTTATGAGTTTGAATGTCCCTCTGGTATCTTTCGCCCCTCTTTTAGAAAAAGAATTCTATAATTCTGTATCTAACATAATATTTATCTAGAATGATTAATCTAAGGTACGTATTTCAGATTGTGTTCCTGATTCACAGGCCAATAAATACTCCCAAATTAACAAAAGCCTTCCAACATTGTGTTGGGTAGCATTTACATTTCATTGTAAAAAAAAAACACTTTTAAAGCTGTATTAAGTTGGGTTTTCCTTCAGCAATAATCAAACAAAATGAAAATATCACGAAGGAAAGAACTTTTATAGCGGACTATACGGTATGGGTTTTTTTTATTGTTGAAGGGTTGCCTATAATTGCTTACATACACTTCATTTGAACTTTGGTGGATAGTTGTCTCATTGGCAATTATACCACATCTCCTTATTTATATAACTATATTTAGTTTGCTCATTAGTGTATGAATTCACTTCAATGGAGAGACAGCGATTGTAATATCTAATTATCAGTATAATACCCGTCAATATCGTCCTTTTCGCTCTCTTATAATAATCTATTAATACAAAGATCCAAAGAAGTTGAACAATACTTTTCACAAATTATATACGTAAAGGAAAGAACTGATGACTTGTTGTGTTATAAAATAGATTTCTATAACTAAGGTATCTGGTTATTTTGCCGTTTTCCCGGTTAATTAGTTCATTAGACTTTGTTATGAAAATACATCAAAAAAGAATTCAATGACTTATTTAATATCATTTATATCATAAATTACTACTTTTTTGGTTTCTCTAACTCCTTAGACACTTTATTGAATATTTTCCCCTGGAGATAATTATTCGAATACCCAGAAATGGAAATCGGTGAAAAAATACTAAAGTAATATGTCATCAGATTCGAGGAACGGGTAGTCATATTGATTTGACGGAGGTTGCCATTGAATAATCCTGACATAAAGGAGAGGACCTGAACCAACAACTTTGATGTAAATAAAGTTGATCTATAGAAATATGGATTAATATATTTTTCTTTGAATAATCTTATTTCAATGGTTGAAAACAAACACGAGACTGAGACCAACTGATGTTTTCATACAAAAAAAAAATTTGATGATAACCATAGAATTTCAAAGCGCATTCCAATCAAAAACAAGACTTTTATCAGATGCAAAGCTATGAATGGTCTTCAAAGTACAAATTCATTAATTGTGGTTTTCGATGAAATTTTTTCCAAAATATGCAAAATTGTAAGTATGGTATCAATCTGCTTCAACAGCAATATTGATTTATTTACATTTCAGGAAATAGTTTTTGAATAAAGGAAACAGTATTTTTCCGATGTTCAAATGTCATAAATTAATTAGGAAGACAAATCAAGGTAATAATGAAAAACAGGTGGAATATCATGAACTCCAAAAAAAAAAAGCGAAATCAGGTGCGTCGACAGGTAAGGGTCTCCTGCCATGCATTTATCATCCCCATTCGCATCCACACACAGTCAAAATGTCACATTTGGGGATAGGACGTAAAATTACAGATAGCATAACTATTCTTGTTTCTAAAGATACATGATGCTAGTGAGTTGAGACGTATGCATATCGCATCGTCAACAAATTCGTGATGGAGTCCGTAAAACGTTTGTAGAGTCGATTTCAGTTTTTCTTCCTCATTTCTTTTAACTTTATTATTCAGGCTCTGCTTATCAATTTTCACTATGTTTCATCAACCATCTGATTTTTCCCTGTAAGTGAAATGAGCTTAAAGGGGCATTATCTACGAGATATAAAAAAAAATAAAATATGATTTGTTTTTGTTCAATCATTAATGAAAGTGAAATAATGATTTAATGATTTGCTTTTAGCAGCCAGTTTGGTTCAATTTTGTCAAAATAAGCTAAGAAACATCGTTGATGAATTATTCACTTGCAAGTAAATAATTCGACCTCATTGATTTCGTATTCATGTGACCTTCAATTCAACCCCTTAGCTGGAGATGGGTTACGCATGTATTCAGGTATTAAAGGGAAAAGGATGTCAACATTGAAAGTGAAACAAGGATGAACTATATGGTTGACTGATTCGATCCACAAAAAATCATTCTTATACAGGCAAAAACGATGATTAACACGCTTTTTAACACAATATGAAACCAAACAGGCCTAGAAAAATTCAATTGCACGTAGCCGCTATCTATTATATTCATATTTATGTTTGTATGGTTATATGACCGTCGGCAGTCTACGGAGGTCAACTCGATGGTTAATTAGATGGCGTCTGGACAAAAATACACACGAAATGCTGATGCATATTATCGAGTCCGTGCATTGTTAATTGTTTAGTTTAGACTTTTTGTAATTTGAATATACTTTAGTATATTATAAATCAAATATGAGAATTTGAGTCAAATCGAATACATGAATTTGACAGCTAGTTCCCCTTTAAGGAGATATTTTCTAATATTTAAGTTACATTTAACTGATTTGTATGAAACAACATAACTCTGAATCTGAACTGTTAATCTTTCGTGATTGCACATTTTTAACAACATATAAACCACATTATGATCCGTTATATAGGTATTTTCTGTGTCGTGTCTGTTGTCAAAATGAAAAGCAGGTTTTAGCACTTCAAGTTGTCTTTGCTTCTACAACACATTTACATCATGCGTCCAAATGT